CTCCGTCGAAAAAAAATTAGGTCGCTTCTGCTGCCATGTTGAGTCATGGTCCATGATACCAGGGCTTGCGGAAGATATTGTTTTCCAAATGAGTTCATACAACAACTGACACATTTAAAAAGATACAAAGAATTCTTTAGGGGTATCTCGTTGTCAAGAGGTACGGTGTTCGCCTCTCATTCAATAGGTCCCGGGTTCGAAGCCAGACAGTGACGGAAAATTTTCTTCTCTAAAATTGTCTCCTTTCACCCACTTTTCTGCTCTCTAACCATGTTCTGTCGTCTGCTTTCATTTCCACTTTCCGCCCCTCGCCCTCCCCCCTCCCCCCCCTCTTCTGGGCTTCTGACTCCTTCTGCTGTCTTTCTACTTCTACTCCTTGGCGCATTCTTACTCCTGGTTTTCAGCCACACCCCTGATCTTAGGGTAGGTAAGATCCAGCACCTAGCCTTATTGGATAAGACCGAAAAAAATCTCAGAGGTCCCGTGTGCAAGTTGTGCACGTTTAAGATCTCTTGGTGGTCCTAAAATCTATAAGAGTAGATGCTTCGGCCGCCAGCCGCGAAACATTCAAAATTAATTCCTATCAAAATTGAAAATGCTTTAATGTGTCTCTCGCGCTCATATGGCCTTTTTCGATTGCGAGCGCCGTAAAAAAAAAACTTTAAAAAAAAGAAGTAAACCGTTATCATCTTTCCTTTCCAGATCTGGCGCCCGACTGGAGGTGGTGCACTGGAGTACTCGTTAGTGGGAGAAAACTCGGTCACCATAGCCTCTGGTGCTGACAGTTATTTCTCGTTCACTGGAGCGGACCGGATATACGTCCAATCTGGTGACGTCATCGGCTGGTACACGCCAGGCAACAATATAATCCTACACACGGCGTACGGGGGCGGAGCGACTGTCAGTGAAACCTACGTCATGACCGTAAGCCAGCCAAGTGTGGGAAACACGCTCACTCTCTCTGGTTTAGTCCAGAACAATGTATACTCGATCTACGCCACCGTTGGTGAGTTACCGCCCCCCCCCCCCCCCCCGAAGTCACTGTTTCTAATCCTGAGGTGTGTTTGGTCGGAGGGTGGTGTGGTGTGGTGTGGTTTGCTTCTTCTTTCCTATCAAACATCATTCGTCCTTTCTTCTCCTCCTTCTTTTGTGTTTGTTACTTTCTTTTAAGCACTTCTTAAGTCTAATCTTCGGCACTTATAGTGTTGCAAGTGTAGTAAAATTCTTACTAAAACTAAAAACTAACTCTTATGTCCCGGTAGCTTAGTGGTTAAGCTACTGTAACCATAATCGTGGAATTGTGGGTTTGGGGGTTCGAGCCTCAGCTCGGTCCGACGTTGTGTCACCGGGAAAGGCCTTTTACTTGAATTTCCCATTTGGCTCGGTCTTTTCGGAGACGGACGTTAAAAACAGAGGTCTCGCCTCTTCAATAACCTGATAGTGTAGATAGGGTCCTATACCCAGACCTAGGGTGAGAAAGGCAATGGTGATGATGATAGGGACGATAGAGGCGTTAGGCCCCGCGCCCACCTGTTATTTTTTGCCCACTCCAGGCAAAGCATTGCATTTGTATGCAAAATAAATATTACATTTTGCTTGTATCACGCATAGTTTATCGTGCAACACGATTTTCGTACATGCACGATCTTTCGCCTTGCGTGGAATCTGCAGCTGCTCCTCGATTCACCCAAGAAAACGTATAATTTTGAACCGTAAGTATATTTTTGGTCCCAATTTCGTTTAATATTTGCTAGAAATAATTGTATTACATTAAATTCCATACATTTGAGCCATTCTTAAAAGCAATTGAGGCAATAATTTCGATCTGAAGGCTTCATGGTCTAGATTTGGACCTATCTAGATCTAGATGAGCTCTATGAAGCGTCAAACCACAGACTCGAGATTTTGCCTGTCTTCGATAATCGGCAAATGGGCGCGCATCATTTTTTCGTCCCTCACATTCGGGCGATGACGTCACGAAAACGCATTGCCTGGAACATACAAAAAATTAATTATAGTGAGCGTCCCACCTTAAGCCTATACATTTCACCATGTTCACCTCAGGTCCTCCGTCCTCCCCAACGTTCAGCAATCTGGACCACACCGTGACGGGTCACAAGTTGAGCTTTGTGGTGGGCGCCACAGTGTACACAGTCCTGGCCTTAGACACCGACACAGCGGACACGGTGACCTATAGCTTGACCTCGACCACGCCCACCTCCGACTTGTCTCTGGACACTTCAACAGGCAGGTTCTGCCCCGGGGTTTTAATAGTTTTATTCACCCCGCATAATTTAGCAAAATTTGATCATTTTTTGGGCATAATTTCTGATTATTTTCCTTTATCATTCTTTGTTAAAATTAACAGAATCGCATAATTCCACATTTCTGGGCTCAGTTAGCATAATTTCAGATTTTTTTTCTGTGTATAAAACCGCGGGGACAGAGTAATGGGCTGAGTGAGCTGGGTGGAGAAGGACCGGCTTCCTCCTCCTCCTCC